AGATATCAAACATTTTCTGTGATGGAAATTATCGCATATTGATACACGATTTAGACAATTTTCCTTTTACACCCGGTATATATATATATATATATATATATATATATATATGTGTGTGTGTGTGTGTGTGTGTGTGTGTGTGTGTGTGTGTGTGTGAAGAAATATAGTTATAAGGTGTGCCATATATATGGGATAAACTGGTCAATATCAAAGATAGAGCGTATGTCGGGCGGCCTGACGATTGCGTCTAGCATGAAACAGCCTGTCGCCTCTGAGTTTTGACTTCAATGTTCACTTCATATATATATATATATATATATATATATGCAATTTTTTATATATTATTCATATATTATATATGCATGATACTTATTATCACTGATACATATCGAGTTGGATTGATGTGAGTTTGTGACGCTGGGTTTTACACTATTTGAGATTGTTTGAGTTTGACGACTGCAAATAGCATGAAACCCTGGGTCAAAAACATTATCTACCCTCCCAATATGAAAGGGGATTGGAGAAGAAATATACATATCTTTCATAACAACTTCGGCTAGAATATGAACTCGGCCTTGCTATTCCTTGGCCTGCACAGATAACCCGTACGCCACTCTTAATGACGGGATCAGTTTGAAATAGTGTGATAATCACTGCTATTTGTTCAACTTACCAACATGCAGCCCTTGCTTTTTCAATTGTAAGCATCCGACGATGAGAAAGCTTGTCGGAATTTTTAGTCAATAAATAGGATCCACCAGTTAAAAGGCATACACAGTTCTCTGTTGGGAGGTGTTAGAAAATTGAATTCCTTTGATGTTGCGTGTTTATAACTAAATTTCAATGTCCCATTATTTGCCTTCATTGGGCTTAGGACATCGTTCAACAGAATGAACTGATTTGCTCAGAACAAAGAAGACCCTTTTCTTCACAGGTTTATTTACAAGTGGAAATCGGGTTTCATATATAAGCCAAAAGCACAGGAGTCATTGTCACCCGATACAAGACTGATTCTTTCATTCGATTAAAACTTGATCCGTAGAATATTTGACTGTGGATCTCGTACAACATAACATTCGATGTTTGTGATGAATAAATGGATCATAGAGAAACAAATTAACGGATCATAAGCAATTCACCACTACAAATTTGTTAACCCCTGCCTTTTGTGCATATTACCAAAATTCAGTTTCTGATTTTCATTTGTAAGCATCCAGCGAAGAAAATGGTTTGTCTGAATTCTTGGTCAAAAATATGTTCACTTGTAGAAAAAAAACCCATTGGGAACCCACTTCATGTCTGTGAGAAAGTGACTGTAGACGAGAAGCCAGATCAGGAGCTATTACATTGCATATTCGCCTCTGGATTTTGTCGAGGACCTCGAGAGGAACAGCGAGTGTGTCAATTCTGATAGGAGGAAGGTTTCCATAAATATGGAAACATTATTCAATGCAAGGACGAATGGTAGTTTTGTAGATTGGAAGGATGGACAGAGGCGATAAAACCCTACTGGTGCACTCAACTGTCTTTGCGGTAGATGAAGCTATTGATTCAATATAGTTCTTCCGCCACTGGTCAGTGGAAAGTGTGAGAAATAGCAGACGCAGAGAGACGCTCTCGTGGAGGTGGGTATCTGCCATTCTGATAGGAGGCAGGTTTAACAATCATTCAGAAATATGGACTATTCTGTTCGTTTTATGAATAACTTTCATATTACTCGCTTGAATTTGTTTAAAATTAGACACTTTACTCTTAATAGAAACTTACTACGAGATATATGATCTGCTAGTTCCTCAATGACAACGGACATTTATTCGCTTATTTGCGGAGTATTCTCAGTGTTAAAATAATGGTATAAAAAGTGTGGATTCTTCGGTGTTCTTCATATTATCGACCAATTTTATAAAGAGCAAGACTGAAGAATATATCGGAGGCATAAAAAGCCATAATTTACCTCTAATGTGAATATGTCTAAACTCAAAAGATGTCTGGTAAAATATTATACTCTTTCGAGATGATTTAATTTCTGCGTGTTCCTTTCGGATTAAGGAACGGAACTCAGACCTTGCAGAGATTCATCGATTACATTCTACACGACTTAGAATATTGTATTTGCTTCCTTGGATAGAGGTTTGTGATGAACAAATGGATCATAGAAAAAACACCACAACAAATTAATAGACCATAAACAATTCACCCCCACAAATCTGTTAAGCCCTCAAACGTGTTATGTTGAATATTGTTATTCGACAGCAGGAGGATATGTAACAATCATATTCCATATTTCTCGCTTGAATTTTAAAAAAATTATACACTTTACTCTGAATAGAATCTCAGTTCGAGATTTATAATCTGTTAGTTCCTCAATGACAATGGACATTTATTCGCTCATAAACGTTCCCATTGTCAAAGTAATGGTATAAAATGAGTGGATTCTTCGGTGTTTTGAATTATATCATCAAGTCTCGTAAAAGAGTTAAGCATATATCGGAGGTACAAACAGTAACCATTTCTATATAGTGGGAAGGTGGCTAGAGTCAAAAGCAGCTCTGGTAGAACATTTTACTGCACATCGGGTAGTACACTTACAATTTACTTGATCATGAAGAAGTTAGCATTTGTTAACCACTCGACCGTGTCCAACTGTCAAAGGTATGCCAAATAAAACAATCAGCCGGGGATATGGAATATTCACTTTATTTTATGTATAACTTTCATATTTCTCGTTTGAATTTGTTTAAAAATTAGACATCAATTTGACATTTATAATCGTATTTCCTCACTAGCAATGGGCGTTAATTCACACATTACTCCACTCTTGTATTAGGTCCTGTGCCATCTCTGGATTCCCAAGCTACTACATTAAATAGTATCATTCATATTTGCTTATTTGTTTTCTTAGGAGAGTGTCGTGGCAGCTTGGATTCTAAGAGGCAGTAGGAAGAGTGGCGTCGTAAGAACGCAAGTAGATTTGTGAGGCATATCAACCCTTCAGAATTCTTGATATCCTCTGTTGAATTCGTGCCGTTTTGGACATATTTAAAACTCAGATAAAGGTATTCCATCACTGTCAGAATACCCTGCCCACAAGACTGGCGAATTGCTAACAATTCTAGCCATGGTTTCCGCATTCTATAACAGGATCAGTCAGTTATGTAGCATGCGGGATACACGCTTAGTAGCACGCTTAAAATCGTGCAGTTGGGGTACCAGTGAACGATAGATGACTGAGCAGGCAGATTTTTTCCCGCAGTAGGTTGCCGTTTCTTTCTGCAGTAGAACCCGCTCTGTTCTACTTTTTAGCCATAGCCGGGGAAGAAGGAGAGGATTCATACCTTTCCAAAGGTTATTCGCACGTAAGTGAATGTAATGGATTCGACTGGAATTCGAACTCGGTTCTTGGATTCCTCAATCCGCGCCGCTATCCATATCTCCACCGCGCCTCCCTGTAACAGCGTAAATATGTTTAAAAATGACGGATGTTTATTCTTAACTCTTACTCAATATAATGTGTCTATCGGCAAATTGTTTTTATATATATATATATATATATATATATATATATATATATATATATATATATATATATATATATATAAAAAAAACACTAATATGGAATATTAATGTTTAAGCCTTTTATTATATCCTTACTCTGTCCTAGACATTGAGTTCTACCTGGATTCTTCCTCTTGGAAATTTTTTTCTGAAAATATACATGTATGGGTATTTTTTTTATATATATATTTTTGCATATGTATGTATATTTTCCACTAATATTATATATATATATATATATATATATATATATATATATATATATATATATATATATTGATACAAAACTGACAAGTTATGAGCCCTTACTTTTATTAGGTTGTTGTATTCTTTGCGTCTCCGGATCCCCAATCCGCCATATAAAATAGTATCAACGAAAAAGACGATTCATTTTTCCCATTCCTTTTACTAGGTTTGGCATCCTTTGTCTTACGTCATATCAACCACAACGGGGTATTTAATGCCTAAAAGATTTTCTTATTGCTGGTAATATATTTTCAAAAAAAGTATAACTGGTAATCTTTTTTAAGGCAATTCACCCTAAGCAAGGTGGGAGTATCTCTAGCAGGCAAAGGGTTACAGAGGATTGAGAGCAAAACCAAAGAGGCGTGATTGAGGAAAGGATACAGAGAATGACGGGGAACAAGTTTTTCCTTCAAAAATTTATTTCCCGTAATATTTTTTTTTAAAATTTTATAGCTGCTAATATTTAAAAAAAAAATGTATAGTTGATAATATTTATTTTTTTAAATATTGCTGGTAATAATATTTGAAGGAAAAAAATATTGCTTGTAATATTTTTTTACAAAGTATTTCTGGTAATAAAATCTATTTTTACACTTTCATAGTGTTTTGACCCCAGTTTGAGGGTTAACTATTTACCCATAATTGGGACCCTAACAGGGGCTGCAACCCCGGACCAGGGTAAACCTGGGAACACCAGCAATTAAGAGCTCCTGCCTCGCTCATCAAAACCTCCTAATGAGGCCTTGCCGTAAGAATTTTTTTGCCGTTAACAAAAAATTTTTTAAAAATCCAGACGACATGCATTCAACGGATGTCAGTTTTCATTGAAAAATACATCCCTACCCCTTATAGCTGATAACAGATACAATGATGCAGACATAAGGAAAACCCAGACACTCCTTGTCCAGTTGAAGTAGATTTAACATGGAAACGTGAATTTAGCCGTGTTTTTAAAACCCAGTAATTTTTAAAAGTTACTCCAAAATTCGCTTGAGGATGAAATGGAACTAATGTCTTTAATGTAATTGCAAAATTAAATTCGTGGATTTTAGCTTCCATTTTTGAAACATGGTTAGAACTGTGTAGCGGAAAAAAACATATTTTAAATCAATTAATTTATAATATATATATATATATATATATATATATATATATATATAGAGAGAGAGAGAGAGAGAGAGAGAGAAAGAGAGAGAGACATAGATAGATAGATAGATAGATATGAAGAAACATATCAGATAAATAAATAAATAGATCTGATAATGTGAATAAGATAGGGAAAAATACGATAAGATTCGGATAGATTGATAGATGGATATGAACAGACACTTGAGATAGTAACATAGATAGCTAGACTGTTAGCTAGCTAGTTAGCTAGCTAGATAGTTATGAACAGACTGATAGATAGGTAGATAGATATGAACAGATATAGATAGATAGATAGATAGATAGATATATAGATAGATAGATAGATATTAAGAGATCAAGAGAGATAGATATATAACCATAGATAGATAAATAGATAGATATGAAGAGACGCTTAAGATAGATCTGAGAGTGTGAGAAGGATTAGGAAATTACGTAAAGATTGGGATAGATATGAACGTAGATAGATAGATAGATAGATAGATAGATAGGAACAGACTGAGAGATAGGTAGATAGATATGAACAGATCTAGATTGATACCTAGATATGAACACACTGATAGATAGCTAGATAGATATGAACATATGTAGATAGATAGATAGATATGAAGAGATGCTTAAGATATATCTGACAGCGTGAATAATATTATGAAATTACGTAAATATTGGGATAGATATGAACATAATTAGATAGATAGATAGAGAGAGAGAGAGAGAGGGGGAGAGAGATAGAAAAATAGATAGATAGATAGAGAGAGAGAGAGAGAGAGAGATAGAGAGAGAGATATATGGACAGAATTAGATATATTGATAGCGAACAGACTGAAAGTGACAGATACTTATAGATTTATATAGAGGTGAAGATCGAAACAGCCGAAATAGGCAAATATGAATTGATATCCCTTTGTAGATAGATAGGTAGGTAGATGTTTAGACATGGATATTAAAAAAAAATGACCCCTTAACGCTTTACTTAAAAAAAATCTAATGAATGCTAAATCATTTTTCAAAAAAATAAATAAACAATCGCACGACGGCCGATGTAATAGAAAGGGAAGAGGATGATGGGAAGAAGGAAGGAGAAGAAAAAGTGGACAAGAGATGAAAAGTAAGGGTATTATAAATGGATCGGTGGAGGGAATTGGAATGTACATTTTTTTTTATTTATCCAGCCTCATATATGCTTAAGAGGAATTTCCTAATATGTAAGCAAAGACCTTGCTAACATATTAGGAAAATCCTATGAAACCAAGGTAGCGGATTCAACCGATCACCTGATTTCTAAAGTGCATATATATATATATATATATATATATATATATATATATATATATATATATATATATACATACATACGTACATTCATATGAAAAGATATCACTAACTTGAAAGAGAGATAGTAAAAGTTATCGTTAACGATAGAAATATCGATAGATATGAGCAAACTAAGATAGATAGATAGATAGATAGATAGATAGATAGTAAGAAATATCGCTGACGATAGATAAAGTAGATAGTGAAATCGACATATATATATATATATATATATATATATATATATAAAAGAGAGAGAGAGAGATAAAGAGACAGTGTGATAGAGATATATACAGGTAGATAGAATGATAGAACGATAGGTACATACATACATACATACATACATACATACATACATATATATATATATATATATATATATATATATATATATATAATGTATAGATAGATAGATAGATAGATAGATAGAAAAAAGAAAGAAAAAGTAAGACTTTTATGCTGTCGAAAACGGCCTTTGGCGGATCCATCTTATTTGACTTAATTAAATTTCATTCCACTTTAAAAGCTTTAAAAATGTCAAATTCCTTTGCCAGATATATTCCTTTTCAAAATTCGTATCAGCCTTTCTTCACCCAGAAAGATTAGCTATTATGCTAATAGTTACCGCAAATAAATTATTTGTTCGCTGACAAATTCCGGTAATATTTTTATTCTACGGTGGACAATAGAAGTTTGAGTAATCGAAACTTGGGATATTTCACAAAGGAAGAACAAATCAAAATGTTTTGTCGTGTGTTTACGCGGGCAGACGAGCTTTCTTAATCAAGTTAGCAAAGAAAAAGTGCGCATTTAGATGCCGACTCTCAAATGTTCGCCGGCCTCGACTTTCTCGCATTTGTAAATATTGGGATATGTACTGAAGCTGATATATTTACACAGAAACCAGGCAACACAGGAAGTGTGTAAATAGCTGCTATGTAAACACATACCTACATCGGATCTATTTTTCTCTCTATTAATTCCAGTCTGTAGTTATATATTTGTACACCTAACTTTGCTTACGTAACTGTTTCAGAGACGTGGTGCTGAAAAGTCCTCGACTCGTTAGAGTTCAGGATATCATATCATAATGCTGATTTTGCAAGCTGGTCCTGTCGAAAATATTTCAGCACCGGTTTTCTTTGCGCAAATGGAGAGCATGCCTTAAAATCCAGCTTGTGAAATTTTGGTTTTACGTGGACATATAATGAAATACATCAATATATATATATATATATATATATATATATATATATATATATATATATATATATTTTATGAAAAAAATTATAACATAAATATGTTATAAAATCACTACAAAAATAGCCATTTTGTTTCAACAGCCTCGGTGTCTTATCAAGTGATGATGTTGAAGATAAAATAAATGGTTTTAAAAGTTTCAAATTAATTAACGATCCTTCGTTAGGGGAAAACATTGTTACAAAAGATAGAATGACCAATCAAAACCCAAGTATAGGAAGATTCAAAAGCTTGACTCGAAAGTATGTTATAATAGCTATTCAGATCTTTAAAATACGGGTAATATTAAAAAGGAATTTATTCTAACCAATAATTATTAAATTATATGATAAAATTTGATATTAAAATTAAAAACTGCCAATTTTAAAATCCAAATATAATCATTATTAAGTTTAAAAACTATAAAATTACTGTGGAGAAAAGAAAAAATACATATGTTATTCAATTTATTTCTTCGTTGAAATTACGTTAGAACAGACGCTACAATATCCGGTCATCTGACAATACATGTATATATATATTAATCCCAAGTGTGTGAATGGGGTCTTAAACTCACGCGCAAAACAACAAAAACATAATCTGATTATAATACATAAGCACCCAGACATATTTAGATATATACACACACAAAAAAGCGACGAGACAGGAACATCTCCACAGCCCTTTATGAAAAAAGGAAACGGGGAAACCAACACCTACACACACACACACACACAATTAAAAGTGAATGCACTCTCCATACACATAGATACCGATAAATACATGTACACACATCCACGGACATTGACCTTGACAATCAGATACCACAACCAATAAATATTTAAGACTGAAAGTATCATTAAACAAATGCTAGCCACTTATTAAAATATAACTTAAGCGAGCAAATATACAAAGATAAAAATGGTTAAAAATAATATTATGTAATATATTAAAACGAAAATTCCAAAACCACAAATATGAATAAAAACATTTTAATCATATAAGTTGACAATAGTTTCATTATATATTAGGCGATGGAAAACAGGATAAAGAAAACCTACAGAAATAAGTGTACTGTCATACGTATATAGATATATATATATGCGGCAGCACACTCAAATTAACACATATATACATACATACACATACATATATATATACATATATATTCACACACAGAAATACATACATATAAATATATAAACATAAACATAAACGCACATATACATATCTATGATAACAAGTACACATACACATACATACATATAAACATATATACACACATATATACAAACATTTATGCACACATACTCACATATATAAACACATACATACACGCACCAATACACATATGAACATATATACACACATAGACTAACTACTGGGGCAGTAATGACATACCAAAGTTTCCATACCTACACATACACACAAACAATCTCATATATAATAGGTGTCAACACACACATATACATCCTCAAACATACATATATATACACATAAATACGTATCTACATGTAAACATATACATAAATATACCTATCTATAATAACAAGTACTAATATATACGTACATACATATAAATACAATGACATTCAAACAAATACATATATAAATGCACATACATATAGATACATAAACATACATCCAAATACCTGCACACACCAATATACATATACCCGAACATACATATATAAACACATTCATACAAACAGAAATATACGTAAATATAAATTTATATACACAATAAAATAGGACAAACACACACACACACACACACACACACACACACACACACACACACACACACACATATATATATATATATATATATATACACAAACATGCACACATACACACACACATATATATATATACATACACACACACTTACATATACACACACATAAATATATATATACATGTATACAGTGCCACAAAGCCGAAATTAGGGGGCACCCAGTGAGGAACGAACTCACTACTCAGTCACAATTGATCTACCGAGCCAAGCTTGCCAACCATTACACCGCCTCGAGGTGTATATATATATATATATATATATATATATATACACACACACACACATACACAAATACACACACATACACGTATACATCAACATTTTTTAACCTCTTCTCTTCTTATCTTCCACACCCTCCCACCTTATATACACACACACACACACACACACACACACACACACACACACACACACACACACATATATATATATATATAAACAACATATATATACACTTATATAGAAACCTACACATTCCGCAGTACAAACACACAAACCTACACACAAATAAATATATACACATATACACCAACACAAATAACACTATGTAGGTAAACAATACACATTCATATCGCCAGGATGATCATCAGGCAATAAAACTACAAATCTATTAAAATTACAGCGACATATCATTATCAATTAAAGTATACCACGCCTACACTAAGTTAAATTTATAACGGTGTTTACAATTAACTGTTAGTTCATATCTTTGATTTAAGAGATCAGCCTTGTTTTTAAATCTAATAATTTCAAATTTTTCGTTAAGGCATAGGTAACATGGGGCATATAGGGAGTTACATGTCCGGGCTTTCTTAATCAAACTCCATTTAACCGTAGGTGTTTTGTTCTTTTCTTTTAGATTCCAAATATACTTGGATAATGAAGTCATGTATCTATAGTCACCGTGATTAAAAGATTGCATATGCCTCCGCCAGCTTCCATGAATGTTTTCATGGTGCTACCAATGTAAAATTTCTTTATATTTGGATTTTCAATTGTTGAAATAGTACTAAGGTAGATTACAGAAGAAATCCCACAGTTATTTTGTGGTGGACAATTTTTAGAATTCCTACAATTACATAAGTTGTTATTTGTGTTATTATATTTAGTATTGCAGTTAGTAACCTGTTGAGTAGTCAAGCCTATTGAATCCCTATACTTGTTAAAGACTATATTGTTATGTTTTTTAATTATTTTCTCCAGGTTATCAGCACGACAATAACTTAATTTAAGGGTATTAGGATTAAATATTTTACTAAGTGGGTTATTTTCGAGGTTGGGGAAATGTTTCTTGAATGAGGTTTAGAAATAGACGTCCTAATTTAGTGTTAGCCATTATATTGAAGGGGGGAGTGAACCAGATTATCTTTCTAGATATTCTTTTTTATTATGGTTGCAATTAACAGGGTTTCTATATTGAATAGTGGTATCTTTGTATCCACTATTTCTGAGTGCAGAATTGTAAAAATCACGATGTTTATTAAAAACCTCCTTGTTAGAAGAGTTAGTGCTAATTCTAAATCCAATGGAAGAGGGTATGTGTTTGATAACAGAAGGGGGATGATTGGAATTTGGATGCACGTATATTGGGTTGGAATTAACCTTCACATATGGTTGGAAAGGGTTACTAGCAAGGTCTAGGGTGACGTCTAGAAGATCCACTTGTTTAACATTAGTTGTAAATATTGTCCTAAGACCTAAATCCTTAAGTACCCAATGGATCATTTTCCTAATACGGTCTACCTTAATTTTATTGGCTTTTTTAACAACTAATAAGCCATCATCTCTATACAATCCTACACTATCAGATTCTAGACAATCGAAGGCACTTAAATTATACAAAAGAAATGATCCAACCAGGTAAGAAGCTTCATCAGAATATATATATATATATATATATATATATATATATATATATATATATATATATAAAAAATGTAAACACTAATATTCCATGGTCATAATTTATTCCATTGGAATCGATTCATTCATCAGACCAACAAATTCAAAATTGAATTTGTAGGTCTGATGAATTGATCATTTACGATTCCAATGGAATAAATTATGACCATGGAATATTAGTGTTTAAGCCTTTTATTTATAACCTTACTCTGTCCTGGACATTGAGTTCTACCTGGATTCTATCCTCTCAAATTTTTATTAAAAAAATATACATGTATGTGTATGCACCTATGTATATATATCTATATATTTGCATATGTATGTGTATATTTACCACTATTATCTCTCTCTCTCTCTCTCTCTCTCTATATATATATATATATATATATATATATATATATATATATATATATATGAGGAAATATAGTTTAAGGTGTACTATATTTATGAAATAAAGTGATCAATATCAGAGATACAAATATAAAAGTGAACATTGAAGCCAACACTCAGAGTTGACTAGCTGTTTCATGCTAGGCACAATCGTCGGGCCTGATTGTGTCTAGCACGAAACAGCCTGTCGCCTCTGAGTGTTGACTTCAATGTTCACACACACACACACACACACACACACACACACACACATATATATATATATATATATATATATATATATATATATATGCTCTGTGTGTGTGTGTGTGTGTAAATATATAATAAAAGACCGAAATAGATCAGATAAAGTGATATATTGATAGGCATGATCAGGCATAGATATGATAAGCGTGCGATGCAGAAGTAAGAGGTCAACAAAAGCAGATATATAGATAGATATAAACAGAATGAAATCGATAGATTGTGTCAATCAGAGATACATAGAAAGATATATATATATATATATATATATATATATATATATATATATATATATATGAAGAAAAATATGAGACGATAGACATAAGAGTAAGACTAATCAAAACAGTTTTATTAGTTTTACTCTCATGTCTATCGTCTTTCCATGTTGACTTGAATATCCTCTAATGTTAATTAGGTTTTAATAACTATGTCCTGAAGAAGGTCTACTAGACCGAAACGTCTGACGTTGACATTGAAATAACATTAAAACAGCATATTCGGATTTTTGTTTTTCCATATATTTTCTTCATATATATATATATATATATATATATATATATATATATGATTAGTTTAAGATGCACATAAAGGCTCAAGAAGACAGATATACAAGAATATACTAAGATAGACAGACAATAGATAGATAGGTAGTTAGACAGACTGACAGACTGACTGATAGATAGATAGATAGATAGATATGAACAGATTAAATTATATAGATAAATAGATAGATATGAAAAAACATGGTTGACAGGTAGTAAGATATCAATAAACCGGGACAGATAGATATAAAGAGTCATATATATATATATATATATATATATATATATATATATATATATATATATATAGATAGATAGATAGATAGATAGATAGATAGATATGAACTAAGTAAAATATGAGGAGACTAATAAATAGATCTGTACAAACTATAAAAGATAGATTGTTATGAAAAGACTAAGGTAGATATTTTCTTGAACCCCCCCACTGAGTCAGGTTGTGACACAAGGTCAGTTTTTTAAACGTGGGAACCCGAATGTTTTCACTCGGGCCGCTGGTCCAAGCTGGTCTTAGCTGGTCATAGCTTGTGCAAGCTGGTCAGAGCTGGTCTAAGCTAGTCATAGCTGGTCTTGGCTGGTCTTGTGCCAGGTAAGTATATGTTAAGACTAAGGTAGATAGTATAGCTATGAACAGATTAAGATAGACAGATAGATGCACATTATGGTCCAAGAAGACAGATATATAAGAATATGCTAAGATAGACAAACAATAGATAGATAGTTAGGCAGACATGCAGATAGATAGATAGATAGATAGATAGATAGATAGATAGATAGATAGATAGATATGAACAGACAAAATTATATACATAAATAGATATGAAAAGCCATGGTCGATAGTTAGTAAAATATGAATAAACTGGGACAGATTGATATGAAGAGCTATATATATATATATATATATATATATATATATATATATAGATAGATAGATAGATAGATAGATAGATAGATAGATAGGCAGATTAATAGATAGATGGCTATGAACTGACTAAGTTAAATATGTGTAGACTAATATAGATAAATACATATGTACAGACTAAAATAGATAGATAGATATGAAAAGACTAGGGTAGATAGATAGATCGATATGAACGTACTAAAGTAGATTGGTAGATAGATAATAGATAGGTATGAACAGATTAAGATAGGTAGATAGATACTTACATACATGCATACATATATAAATTAAGTGATTAACAATTATAGCTGGCCACCTGTATGCGAGGATAACCGACTAATGGGTTGGCAAGCCAATCCCTATTGCAGACCCCTACTCAGACGTATTTTGCGTTTGTTCGACACCGACACATCCCATCTGTCGAACATTCTGACCTTAGTTACCGTTTCTGGGAAAGAAGCGTGTAGATATATACATAGATATAAACAGACTAAGATTACAAGTTATATTGTATTTATTATTATAAAGGATCGAGACTAATAAAATAACATGAATTAAGAAGACGGAATATTGAGATTCAGTTTAAATTTTGGAAGATCAAACTTGACAGGTCTGGGAAGTGAAGGCCCGTAATTTGTCGGATGGTACAAGGAGCCGACTATTTCTCCCCCGTCTAGATTGTACAAGGTGCATTCCATAGGGTCTGAGACTTTTTCTGAAGATACATTTATTATTTTTAAAGGAGTAATTATCTCCTTCAAAGTAGGATCCTCTGACTTCAATGCAACTTGTTGTAGAGTTCCAGAAACTTCAAGAAGGCGCCACGGAAGTGAATGTGTTCTGGTTCCTGGTCAAAGTTTCCTTCATCTTCTCGACGTCTTCAAAACGACTAATTCTGATGTTCTCCTTCAGCATAGGGAACAGCCAAATTCAAAGGGAACATGGTCTGAACTGTAGGGAAGGCGAAGGACAACTTTGATGAACTTCAACCCTTTTCCGGCTATTACCAACGCGTCTGTACATCGTTTTTCCATTGAGCACCGTGAGAACAAATTCGCATAAATTTTACCCATGTTAAGATCGCCATGCTTTATTCTGGGTACAGTTGCCACACCGTCTTCAAACTGTAGGCTTATCGTCTTCATAGAAACACGGCTGTCTTCATCACAAAAATAGTTGTTTTTCTTAACCGGCACTCTCCCTCACACATCACCGCTCATCTACCGTTCTTGAAACTATTGTGCCATCGAACATCAGGTGCTCGGCTCATCATCTCTCATCTACCGTCCTGAAATCTCTTTTGCCATCAAGCATCAGATGCTCGGCTCATCATCTCTCATCTACCGTCCTGAAATCTCTTTTGCCATCAAACATCCGATGCTCGGCTCATCATCTCTCATCTACCGTCCTAAAATCTCTTGTGTCATCAAACATCAGATGCTCGGCTCATCATCTCTCATCTACCGTCCTGAAATCTCTTTTGCCATCGAACATCAGATGCTTGGCTCATCATCTCTCATCTACCGTCCTGAAATCTCTTTTGCCATCGAACATCCGATGCTCGGCTCATCATCTCTCATCTACCGTCCTGAAATCTCTTGTGACATCAAACATCAGATGCTCGGCTTTTCATCTCTCATCTTCCGTCCTGAAATCTCTTTTGCCATCGAACATCAGATGCTCGGCTCATCATCTCTCATCTACCGTCCTGAAATCTCTTTTGCCATCAAACATCAGATGCTCGGCTCATCATCTCTCATCTACCGTCCTGAAATCTCTTTTGCCATCAAACATCCGATGCTCGGCACATCATCTCTCATCTACCGTTCTTGAACCTCTTGTATCATCGAAGATTAAATGCTCAACTCATACAAATAAATCCTTGAGCCTTTATAGTCATTTAATAAGTATAATGTAGTGTTTTGTCCTTTTTAATACAAAATCTTTATTTTCGTAGCTTGCTTCGAAATTTTCTTCACATCCTGATTACCTTCTACAAACTAATTAGCTGTAACAAGCAGTGATTAGTAGGGTGTGGTCAAAGAGCTGCTACAAACGTTTCATTCAATCTGGAATTGCAAAAGTTGGTAGGTCATTTTATTAGATCCATAGCAATGATCCACTAAAATTATCATAATCTACGACAGTTATAACAGTCTTTCTTTAAAAAAAATCTAAAAGCTTCTGAAATTCATCTTGTATATACACCCCTTAAGACCAAATACAAAAGGGTTAGAAATACTTTTACTTTGATCAAAATATATCTGCGAAACATTTACATTTAATTAGAAAATGTAGTTTATCAACAAACAAATGAAATATTTAAGGTTATAAGTGATTATTTCAAACAAACATTGAAACATTTTTGGCTTGTCATAAAGATAAGACCATGTGTGAAAAAACAAATTACAAGACAAAAATGTTATAACTAGTCAGTGTGCTCATAGCTTCATGTGTGTATACATCTACGTACCTCATCTTTATATATTAAAATTTCGGATTTTAAAATGGCTAAGTGTAGAATTTTAACAAAGTTTGAACAGCGCAGGATTATTGAACTTCTAAGACGTGGTCTTTCGCAACGAGCCACTGCAAATGGAATTAGCCGTAGCAGAACTGTCATTGCTAACTTCATTAAAAATCCGGATGCTTATGCTCCCAAAAAATCAAGTGGTCGCCCCAATAAAATCTCATCGTCTCTAGACAGATGCATTAGGCGAGAATTTAAGAGAGATTGAAGCCTAACATTAAATCAGATAAAAGCAGATACAGACCCTGAATGCAGCTCTCGAATAACTCTACGACATTTAAATAAGAAAGGGTTTAAGAACTTGAAATGGATGCAGAGGCCTCGCCTTCTTCTTCGCATTAAACTTCCCGTTTACAATTGGCTCCCTATTATCAAACTTGGGATGTGAATAAATGGAAGAAAATGTTTTCAGACAAGAAAAATTTAATCTTTATGGCTGAGACGGTTTTAAGCGTTACTGGCATGCAAAAGATGTCCCAAAAGAAATTTTCTCAACACGATACAGTAGAGGTGGATCAATTATGGTCTGGGGTTCATTTTCGTACAATGGAACTCTTCAGTTACAAGAGGTAAAAGGTCGTCAAAGAGCTGCTAGTTACATTGACATGTAAAGAAAGGCATTGCTAATTACTGAAGGGCTTCATCTATGTGGAGACAACTGGATTTTCCAGCAGGACAATGCTGCAATTCAAAACAATCTCCAGATCGAAACCCATTCCTGAATGTTTGGGGATGGATGACAAAGGATATTTATAAACATGGATCGCAATTTGAAATTGTAGATCTTCTTCATGCTACAGTTTATGCATCCTGGGCGAGCATTCAAAGCACCCTCATGCAGAAGTTAATAATGAGTATGCCAAAGCGAATTTTCAAAGTAATTCGCGAAAATGAAGGATATACTGAAAATTAAATTGTCGTTGTGACTTATTTGTTCTGTATTTGCTATTTTTATTTACATACTATCCTTATGACCAACAAAAAAATCCTTTTTTACAATGTTTGTTTAAATTAATCAATTAAAAGCTTAAAATGTTCACTTGTTTATTGATAAACTACATTTTCTAATCAAACGCAAATGTTTCGCAAATATATTTTGACAAAAGTAACAGTATTTTATAGAGGGTGTCCATAAAGTTCGTGTTCACTTTAAAAAATTTATAACTTTATTTGTATTTCCGATAGAAATAATTTGTAAAAAGGGTTAGAAAGAAGTAAATCTATATTTTTTAAGGTTGTATTAAAATTTTATTTAAGTTTCCTCCATCATTAGCAATATAAAGGGCAATACGATTTTGCAGTTCACGGAAAACATTTGCCAACTGATTTACAGTAATGCATGAAATCACATTAGTTATTTTAGCTATACTTAAAACTAGGTACATTAAAGTTTATAAAATCTTTTACAGATTATTTCTATCGCAAATACAAATAAAGTTATATTTTTTAAATTGCACACGAACTTTATGGACACCCTGTATTTTCTAAACACTTTTGTATCTTGTCTTAAGCTTTTGACAAGAGTGTACGAATTCTAATTCAGGCTTGGGGCGAATGTAATATATACTTTATTTTAGTTAGCTTGACGCGATGACGTTTACTGTATTTTAAGTACTTTTCAAGTTCCATTCATAACGCCAATTTTTGTCATCAGATTTGTCAAAATCTGTATTACTATATACTAATAATAAACAATCTACTTGTAATCGAGTTCAAGGTAACAGTAGCCAATATCTTTCGTTATTAATAAGGGCGCGAACCTTTGTACAGTTGATGTTAAAAAAATATCCCTTGTCATTACTGTATAGTTAGCAAGACAGTAATTAAATTGTAGGAATTTGATTTAAAATGAATCCGTTTTATATGTGTTAATTTTATTTGAAAAGAAAGACACGCGCTCGGCGTTGGCTGTCCAAATTTGAAATTTTAAAAAATTTTGAAGTTTGCAAAATCTGTTATATCAACATGATTCGCAGCAGGACAGTCAGTTTATTGCGGAGTGGGGGGTCATCGCTTTTGTTCGGCGTTATTTTTGCCTGTTATTGCGAAATATATATCTATTTTGATTTTTGAATTTATTATTTTTGAGACATGGAACATTTGAAAAAAAGAAAAAAGAAAGAAAGAAACAAACAAACAAAAAAGCAGAATTTGTAATTTTTTTTAAGCGGCGTCTGTGTTTACATTTTTCGCGCGCGTTTCCATTTTGAAAGCGAAAAATGTCTTCTAAAAAATTCTGAAAATAAATACGAAGTAGACATGAAAATAAAGTCTGATATACGGTAATGTAATTGCTTGGTGCGTCTAAATATGTACTGATATATAGATACATAGATATACACACACATTCATATATATATATATATATATATATATATATATATATATATATATATATCTGTACATATATTTATAATACAATGCATATGTACATACATGTGAAATTACATTATTTAAACTTTGTTATATTCTTAAAGAAATGAGTGGTCAGGCAAGTTCTGAGGATACAACGCTTGAATCTATAAAGAATGTCATTATAGATTTCAACACTGGATGATATGGTTTAGCACACCATACTCGTCATTATAGTGTTCAATTCTATGTCCACACACACACAATTATATTGCTATGGTGCGTGTGGTTAGAACATTCGCTTTATGGCCATGAGGTTTGGGGATCGAATCTCATCACGATTGAAGGAGACTTACTGGCGTTATTGGTCTGGATGTGGGCGATCCCAGA